ACTGTGTTATATCCATAACACTTCAGCCCTAAACTTAGACACTTCCAAGGAAGTACATGTTGCAGCGCAGACGCAAGGACGACACTCTGTGCAGTGGTGACGATGTACAAACAATGTGAACGATAGAATGTTAAATCATTGCATCATTAATTAGCCATAATAAAGAAGTAAAAGCTTATCGTTTTAGCGTAATAACTCCCAAATACACCTGACATAATACTTAGTCTATGGAGACAAACACTTTCCTGACGAGGCAGTTTTAATGCTGGAGAAACAGACGTGACGCTTTGTTTACATCGCCTAAGGTAGGTATTACTGTCATCCCATTGTCTTTGCCATAGTTCTTGCATACATCGTGCTATCATTCCTTTTTGTTCGACTGCCTTAACCTCTGATACATCAATTTCGTTCGATGCTGATGCCATCTTTGCCGCTTTATCTGCCTCCTCGTTTCCCCAAATTCCAATATGCGCAGGTACCCATAGAAAGTTCACAGACACGTTTCGGTCTTCCAGTATTTTAACTTCCTGGCACGATAATTACTAACCTAAATGTAATGCTATTTGGTATGGTTGGAAAGCATTTTTTCAGAGCTTTCCAACGACATATCGCACATGGGGGGTCACTCTTTAAGATTTAAAAGTTGGGGTGGCAGGGGGTTGGAGGGGGTGCGTCGCCAACTATGTCATTGTGATTCCCCCTCCGAATTACCGAAACGGATTTTGATTTTTTTAAATATCTCGTTTATTTACTAAGATATGGGGGGTGGTAAGTTTTCAAATTGTCACCCTGTATGTACTAAAAATAGAACCGCACATCTCTTATGTACTACCTGTCACTTTTGATTTGAATCAAGCATTTGTGATGCTACGTTTCTACGCTTCCGTTCAAAGCGACATTCAACGGGCGCGAGCACGAGCATGTAAATGGGTTGCTCGCCTCTGCCCGCCTCTGCTTGCCTGCTTTTGCTTGTGCTCGTCACCGATCCGGACTAGTGTCGGTTTTTCTACAAAGATCAAAGGGTGAATCTGTTTGCGCTCGTGTACCTGTTTACATGCGTGGACGGGCTTGGTGCAATTTCTATAAATTTTTATCATCCACCACCTTCTCCGAGCTCTTCGTCTCTTTTCAATTCGTTGTTGTTGTTTTTTCCAATAAAAGTAAGTATGTCAAACCGAACGGAACAGCTGCAATAACATCTACGTCCGCCATGTTCGGTTGTGAGTTTATTCTGAGTTGTGCTCAGATGCGTGTAAACAGCTCGCTTTGTACCCGGTGATTCGCCGAGCAGCTTACCGAGATGCTTGCCAAGCTGCTTGCCGCGTGTGGAAACGTAGCATTAGGTGTTGTAACAATACGGTGAATTTGCTTTGACAATTTATAAAGATATTCCCAATTTCGTATATGATGAGTTATGTGCGGCATTTATAAAATGGGATGAACTAAACTTGTAAAATACCTGAATTATTTGTAGCATAATGGATTACCGGAAGCCCCAATTCGAAGATTATTGTTAGGTATAACCTATAAGTTTCAGCCTTTTACGGGAAATATGTTTCGTACAACAGATGTGGTATTTTTGTCGAAATTGTGTCATGATACTAAGTAATAATAGGTAAGTATATTGTAAACTCGTTGACAGTAAACGATTGTCGTAGTAGGTACTTAATAATTATCGTGTTGCATGATTTATTTGAACGATTGATGATAATTCAGCTCTTACATACTAGGCATTGAAAACACCTAAATTGCTCTTAAATTTGCAATGAAACTATAATTAATGCTTTCATCACTTAAACTTCGTTTCTGAAAGAGGAATAAAGTTGTTGGATGTAGGTCGGAGAAGCATAACGAAGCCTTCGAAAAATGAGATTATGTACTATTCAAAATATTGTATTCCATTTGCCAGCTGTGTAACAATTTTTGCAGCCATTATTGATCTATCGGGTTCGGATTTAGAGAATAGTTGTACACAGAAATTGTACATACATCACAACAAATATCTACATTATCTCCATAGGTTATATAACAATCTAAAGGCGGCTCCACACGCATTCTGTTGAGGTTTTCCCATGATACTACTTGTAGTATCATGAGGTTTTCCTGCGCATTTGACGCCTGGAGGCCGGAAATTTCAATACAAAATCTCATTCGATTTGCCTCTTCTTTTATAGCGTCCCAAGGCCGATCGTATTGTGTGGATGGGTGGGAGGTAGGCCTTGAGGCGATTGCGTTATAATACCTTATACAGGGAGATCAATAATCATATGCTGCGCCGCTCTTATAAAATATCACATTAGTAATCATTTGCCGCAACCAGGTATATGTGTACCAATACAAAACATAACCTATAATTTTACAAACCAAAACCATGATTTGTGATTCTTATTCGAATACTTTCGTCCCTTTCAAAACGGCTTTTTTCAAGACTACCAGTTTCTTTCGAATATTTACAAGGTGGGTAAATTACTTGTAAATTACAAACAAACGTTTTTTTAGTTGTAGCGTGTAATAGGCAATAGGTTTACTCCGACAAGCCTTTTACTTTAGAAGAGAATAAGATGCGTTTGCTGTCCTGTTTCCGTAATGGGACTAAAGACGAAAGTGGAGTTTGGGAGTACTCGATACGTTTGTGTATACAGGAGTTTCGATAAAGGATTGTCAACCATGACGAGGATTACAACAATATACGCCGAAATGCTCATCGTCTACTTGAGCGGTTTAACATACAGGAAGTCTTGCTTCTGGGAAGTCACCTGGCCGCTTAGTGATTGCTAATAAGGAGGTTGTAAAAGATGTTCTTGCTCGTCTTGAGCAAAGTCGGAAAAAGCAGCTGCGACAATTTGTCCCACTAACGGGCATCTCATACGGAACGTGTGACGCTATTGCCTGGAGAAAATTGTACTTCTATCCTTTAAAGTAACCGTGTTACAAGAACTCATCGTCCAGACTTGCAAAGCCGTCTAAATTATTGCATGAACATTTACGAGATGGCAACGTATTCGAAATCGTTTACACACCATTGCCGAATTCCGAGCAGGTATAGAAGCTGCCGTTTGAAACATTACGCAACAGCACTTACATGCCGGCTTCGAAAACATGAAGAAAAGAGTGAATCCCTGTCTTAATAATGGTGGCGAGCACTTCGAACAGTTGTTATAGTGTGCATGTAATTTATCCAATTACTTCGATATTAACGAGTTGTAAAAGAAATAAAATCGTTTCAATTTTTGTAGTAATTTGCTATTCGTGTAGTTCCACATAATTTGGAAACTTACAAGGTGGTTAAATCGTTGATTTAGGTTAAATATGGTTAAACGTCAAAAGTTTACTTTAAGGTTATGTTTTAGTATTGGTGCACCAGGCCTGTTGCGGCAAATGATTACTAACGTCATAATTTATTGAAGCGGCGCAGCAACTCAATATTGATAGCACTGTACGTATACCGTGTGTCAACCACCAAACCTGGCCATAGACACATTTAAAATTACACAATTTTTAAGAAGAAATATGAGTTTCCATATGAAATAAATATTTTTGTTTAATGTCATATTGACACACGGTGTAGTTTTGTGTGAAAAGAGGTCCGTTGCATCAAGTTTTCATATAGTCATGGCCCGTGCAAAGCAAAAACAAGAGGAATTTATAGCCAGAAATCGTAATGTGGCACTCAATCTTTCATGAGGTGTAATTGCGGTCCTCATTATGGTGTCCTTTTTGTAAATGATCGACGTCACCAATGATAAGAGCCTTCTTAAGTATGTGTCCATCCGCAAATAATTGTGCCAATTTTCGGACTGCACCTCAGGTCTTTTTATAAATTTACATGGAAGTAACATTTCCTTTTCTGTAACCAGCTTTAGTCCAGAACTTTTGCTTCACTCTTTTTTTATTACTTTCGACAGCTAACAAAACAATAATCCAACAACAGGAAGAACGTTATCTGTCGACGTCATTTTTGCGCGAAATTGGCGTGCCTTAAGGCTGGCCTTCGTATATTCCGTAGTGTGTGGACGCCCTATAATTTAGGTTCGCCTCAAGGCCCGTCGCCCCGAGGCATGCCTTCGGTTTTTCCGTTGCGTGTGGAGCCGCCTTAAAACAATGAAAAATGCATGACAACCTTTTACATTTCCAAAAATCCGATACAACTGAATACCGAACGATCCTCGAGATTTCATACAGATATAATTTTTACAACACACCTTAAGGGGTTGATTCAGTCCCACCAGTTCAGCATAGCTTGTAAAACAAATTCTTTGAATTGGCATTAGTTTTGCTTTTACTCAAGGTGCCTACATACAAAATTTCATTTAAAAACCTTCACAAATAAAACAAGTATAAATTGTGCACAACTCTTGTGCAGATAAAGCACATTTTTTTAAAAGAAATAGCTTTTATTTTGACATCACCAATCGATATATTTCTTGCAGACGTCTCAATCGCTCTTTGTGAGTACACTCTTCCGACAATCCGTTCTTGAGGTATAAGAGAATATACCCGATCACGATAAGAGGTCGAGGAGGAGGGTTATGGTCGGTAAACATTAATTCCATTCATATGTTCTTTGTAACAAGAGTTATACACGGAACCTTTTTGGAGGTTTGGGCAGTTTTTGGGCTGTAACTTTTTGGCCCGTTGATCTACGTAGCCGGAAAACAGTAGCGACTACACGCACTACACAACTTTGCCAATTTAACCGAATCTGTAAGTATAAAAATAACAAAGATAGCCATGTTATCCTACTCAATTTAAGACACCCTGTATACCTACATATGCAGTGACAGTCCGACTGCCAGCTTATAGCTTTCCATCGCATGAATTCTCCGCATTCATCTTTTCAAAATCTCATTTTATCGTTTCTACTAACTTACACTTACAATCTTTTTTGTTGTGGTAGTTTCCACCGCGTTGCTTTGATTATGAGTGTTACATAACTACGGGAATTTTATTAACCGCAACGGGAAGAGAAGAATGACTTGAGATAATTCACAACGGTGTTTGAATTTCGAAACATGGTTTAGTCTACCGCCTGATATTAAGAACAAAAGCATTGAAGATGAAACTACAAGTTTTTTTAATCCTTACTTTTGTGCTTTTAGCATCATACGCCGATTTATCTGAAGGGGCTCCAAGATGGAGTGGCTTCAAAAAGATTGTGAGTAGATTTTTTTAGCAAAAAATAGTATATGCGAAATTTTTGATTAGGCTTGTGTTATAAACATTTAGTTAGACGGCGATTTTTCTGAGTATTTGTATTTCTCTTCTGCAGGAGAGCTTCGGAAGAAAGGCATTTAAGGTGGGGAAAAGGGTTTTACCGGTTGCAATTGGATATGCTGGACTTATTGGTGGACGATAACAGCAGTTTGGACAATATAATGGATGGGCCATGTTGAATACCTTATTTAATTTTTATAAAATTGAATGTAATCTAATCTATATTCACAATTAACTTAGTAAATTATATTGCAGCATTTATAAGTGTTCTGTTTGATTGCTGAAAGTCAAACATCCACAGGTGTAATTGTTTATTTGTGGATCACACAAAAAATGTCCATTGAATCAAAGAGTAAGAATGTAGTTTCAATGGCACCTAACTTCACGATAAAACATTTGCAAACGAGTAAAGGAAGAGAGGTAAGCTGGTAGATGCCCAGAAAAATACTAAATCTATTGGCTCTCTTATTACCAGTATAAGTAAAGCGCAGATTGCTTCATACTAAAATTAAAGAAAGAATCATGGCACCCGTTTTAATCGCAGTCTTACCGCCGTTAGATGTCAACACTTAACTAGAGAGAAAAACCCCCTTCCCTGATTTTACAAAACACTTTATTATTTTTTTGCAAATTAAAAGTATCCCATTTATCTGACAAACTTATAACATAAATAAACCTAATGCGATTATCATAAAAGATAAGATGAGACCATTTACAAAATTAAAACCGCTTCGCCTTTGTATTATAATTGCTGGATGTTTAGAATTTATTCTTTTAGGAGGATGATTAATGTAGGGAGCATTTGTGTTGTATAATTACAAGAGACATAAGTTATATTTGTGTGTCTTATTTGCCGATACCAGTAGGTGGTTTTGAAAAGAGTGACATATAAGTAGTGGCTTTAATCAGAATTTAGGTAAAAGTCGATTTCGTATAATCGTTCAATGGAGGAATTCGCATGCAACACATCTCAACCGGCAGTGAACTTGTATTTAGAGTTTCAGCGTTGAGTGAAGGATTTAATTACTCAATGGTTTCAGTCGTAACGCGATTATTTCCACAGCTAGAAACTGACGCTTGCTGTATGGACACATCCGAATTTCCTTAAATAGGCCAAAAACACAATATTGTGTCGGTCCTTACACTCCTCTGCTGTTTCTCAAAAACGCAGTAGGTAGATATTATGTTGCCTGAAGATCATGCACATTTTTAACGCATTTTTGAAAAATTAAAAAAATGTGCTATTGTTTGCGTTTTGTTCGTCCGTCCGTCCGGGCCCACTTTTGCCGTTTCTAACTACTTCTAGGGGAATGGTCCTAGAGTCCTGGAATTGCAGTAGGTAGCGTATGCCTTGAAGGTGTGGTCAGACGGCCATCACATTTCGCTGTCTAAAAGGGGGCCCCCCACGAATTATTTCCTGAGATGCTGTTTTTGAAAGTAAAACGTGCATACGACAAACAATTGATTTCAGATTTTGCATACGCATGCCTTTAGTGGTACCAAGAGAAACATGAGAAAATGGGGGGGGGGGGAGGGTTAAAACACATGTTCTACCCTTCATGGTATGCTAATGAAAGGTCTCATCGAAATAAATTGGTTTGTACAAACTATAACTTTCTCGTGCGACTCTTTTTCGAGATCGGCCGGCCCGTGTGGCGTAGTTCAGTTAAAGTTGAACTGTGGTGCTAGGGTCCCTGGTTCGAATCCGGGTTCGGGCATGGATATTTTAAATGTATAGTGGTTTGGGTTGATGGAGCAGCCTTGGTTGAAACTCCGCTCACTCAAAAATAAAGGCAAAATAAAAAAAAAATCAGTGAGCGACGGGTCCTGAGGGGGGGGGTGGGGTTAAAATTAATTTCATCTCTCATTGTATTTTAATTAAAGGTCTCAACGAAAGGACCGTTTTCTACCAACTACCTACTGCCCTTCTTTCTGCCCTCTTATCAAAGTATGAGGTGCAGGGGGAGGGGGGAAGGGGAACTAGTTTTATCCTTCATGGTACTCTAATGAAAGGTCTCAACGAAAGGAATTAATTGCTACCAACCATAGCTCTCTTCCTCGACCTCTTATCATGATCGGGTATATTCCCTTATACCTCAAGAACGGATTGTCGGAAAAGGGTACTCACAAAGGGCGATTGAGATGTCTGCAAGAAATATCTATTGGTAATGTCAAAACAAAAGCTATTTCGGATTTAAAAAATGCGCTTTATCTGCACAAGAGTTGTGCACAATTTATACTTGTTATACTTTCTACTGAATCGGCCATACTATTCAATGGTTTCTGCGAGTCAAAATAGGTTGGTCGCGCCAATAAAGGGAGCTAGGTAGTAGGTAGTGAAAATATACCGTGGTTTTATCACCACGATTTTTATTTCAAAGTGAAACTGCATCATTTCAGGGAAATTGCTTCACGAATAACAAAGCTTGCTCTGCGAATGCAAAGGTATTTAAATTTGTATCTGATTTGAAATGCAGTTCTTTTCGGACGTAGTTTAAGCAATGATTCAATGAAAACCGGATAGACCGACACGATTGGAAGCACAAATGAAGTTGAGTTTTTTGTGAAATGTTTGATTCGAATTTTGGATGCGTTAAACTCGGTGCACACATCCGACTTTTTTGACGTGCGGCGCCGTACCGGTGCCCAAATTCTTCAAATGTCCGCTCGACAGTATTTGACCGCAGACGGTTGTTATTCTTATCTGCATTGGCTAACTAAAAAAGAACTACCTACAATACAATTAATGAGACCATTTTCTCTGTCCGGTCGTCGATCATAAACCATTTTTACATTTTTCAAAATTTTTAAATTCTTAAGAGGTCTTAATAGTACATTATATATCAAGGTAGAGAAGTGCAGTATTATTGCCTGAGCACCAAGATTACATCTCGAGGCGCTTGCGCCGAGGGGTGTAAGGTGCGAAGGCAATAATAGACTTCTCTACCGTGGTATATATGCTATTTTTTTCACTACTAGCACTTGAAATCCTCTAAATTAACATATTATATTGATAAGAAAGTGAACGGTTGGACAGAATTTTTTGTTTATTAATTTAACATGTCAATCAAGTACGTGGAAGTACAAGTCAAACAGGCCGTATTTTGTTCTGTCATTGAAATGTTTTCAAAGAGTAGGTAATTTCGTTCGAATTTTTTCAAAATGTGATAATTTTAGATATGTAATTTCTCTAGAAATGGCGGATGGTGGCAATTATTCATTTTAGAGAACTTGTCTAAACGTTTATTGAGCGAAATTTCGGGTTGTGTTTTCTAAAAGTGACAGCGTGACAGTTCTCATTATTGACTACTAGTTAATAATGTCCACATTATTAACCACTTTGAACAACTGCCGAGAAAGCCTACTTTACAAGTGGAAAAAAGGTTAATAATCATGTCATCAGACGCTAGTAGTGAAAAAAAGCTTTTTAGCGCATTTTTTAAGAATTAAAAAAATGCCTTTAAGGGGGTTTACGTATCTTTAAAGGGGTAGTATACCCAAAATCCAAAAAATTGTAGAAGCAAATCTAAGAACAAAATTTCAAACCGGAGTTTTCTACGATGAGTAATTTTGAAATTATTAACAATGAAAGTTTGAAAGACAGAACATGTGACGTCATCCCGACATCGTGGGTGCGGCGGCACGGATCCAAGCAGTCCGAACGCGTCAGTTCTTTCATATTCTATTTCGCTTTTCTTTGAAAAAATCAAGAAAACCTTACTGAAGTATCATCGGAACATATATCCTCAGATAAATTTGAATATTTGTAATAAATTTCTGTACCCACCTCAGATTGGATACCTATACTTTCAGTAAGCGGTATTGGTTCCATTTGATTCAGTTCTTCTGCTTGATTGTGGCATATGTTTGATGTTGAACTGGTTTCTCCACTACGAAATTGATCGTTTACCCACAATAAGCAATCAGACACAATCTTACTTTCTTAGATAAGTTGACTGACGTTTTATAGCTTTATTAGGACCTTTGTTTCCTGTGAGATGTAAAGAAGGGATTGCAGTATTGTTAGCCTTCTCAAAATTTTATACTGAGGCACAGGGTCCTTTCCTTCTTGTATCTTCCAAAAAAATATCATTTTTAAAGTGGACACTGCAAACGACGTGACTATCTATGATTCAGCGGTTTTTTCTACTTTTCCAGACTTTATTTCGACACGGCTCCTTCTTTTCTCGGGGAAAATTTGCAATGTTACATTTGCATTTTTCAAATTATTGTTGCAGCAGAAAACACAGAGTTATAGGCATTTTTGAAAATAATGCAGATCACTGACTACCAGTCTCAAATTAACACGTCAAACGTCATTGAATCCATATATTGCTATAGCGCGCCACCGACCCATTTGTCGGGATGACGTTACAACGACCGTTTTTTACATTCGACACCTTACCATTTAATAACGAAACGGCGTAGCGACTTGCGGTTTTCACCATTACTCTTAGATATTTTTAATCTATCTTTAGACGAAAACTTGAAATTTGCGTATACTGCCCCTATTGTTAGTTTTCAAAGGCCTGCAATAGATAAATAGATTTCCTTATACCTGACATCTTATTAGTGCATTTTTGCAAATTTATTTGCCCCCAAAAAATGAGTATTATTTTGTGGAGGGTTTTTAGCGAAATCCACTAAAATGCGAATTGCGGGTGAACGAGAAGTCGTAAGCGGGTACCGACGAAGGGAATGTGGTTGCACCCGACGAGATCTTACTGATGGTGGAGTCAAAACTTCAAACGCTAATTGCGGGTGAAGGAGGTGTCTGAAATGGGTACCGACAAAGGGAATGTGGTTATTCCGGACAAGATCTTAACGATAAAATGCGCTAAAAATCAAGACAAATACCAAATACAGTGCAACATCTTTACTTCGGAGACTAATCTAGAACATCCAATAATTCTAAGCTACACTTACCACAATGATAGTCCAGACGTATCTCTATAACCGGAACACGCCTGGTTTTTTTTCATCTGAAGCATGTTCGTTGACTAAAACGATCAACGAACTGTTTGTTATTGAAGAATAAACGTAGTCTTTGTAAATACAATATTGCCAATTGGGCCGCCGACGTACAAAATATTAAATTCCTACTTAATTATTATAAAAGTTACTATTATCACAGATTAACTCTGTGCTATTACTATTGTAAATAATTAAACAGATAATTAACTTTCTGAACATGAGAGCTTTTCAGTTTTTTTCAAAAATAACTTTGGAGTAGGATTTTTAAAAATCAGCAAACAAAACTGCAAAAGTACCACATTTAAACGAATCTCTATTTTAAATGGCAATAAAGTTACCTATACAATCCCTCCCGATCTGCAACACCCTGTATAGAAGTATGCATTGTTATTGTACTATTCGGTAATTTGTTAGTTCCGTCACACTCAATTTCCAATTTGCAGCAAGATTGGTATAACTCGTGTACAATGTTTTTTTAGTAGAAAACTAATGTTAGGTGGCTTCCTGTGGTAGCTGTTAAGGAAGTTACATAAAGTCGGGAAATTTGCTAACCAGGCCGGAAAGAAATATTTGCGATAGCTGCTGATATTTGAATTTTGAGATCAGAGTGCGGCTACTGTTTAATCTATTGAGAATATACGCCAAAATGAAAGCAACAATTTTGTTAATCGTGGCGCTTGTGCTTTTGGCATCATACACTGATTTATGTGAAGGGGAGCCAAGGTGGCCACATTCCCAGACCTACGTAAGTTACTTTTACTGACTTCTTTATTCTTTTTAGTTTTTTTAAAATAAAATATACTCCAAAATACCCTCGAAAATACCTATTATTTGCAAACGTCTTGGTTGATATTACCACAGACAACATATTGTTGTCTGTGATATTACTAAATGACCTTTAAATTGTGAAGAATCAATGGAATCAATGTTTAAGAGGTTCGTACTTTAGATATAAATAGTGGATACATGGGTCACATAAGTCACATTAATATAAATACGCTTTTGTTTCCAGAATAACAAGCCGAGACATCCGCAGCGAACCTTACGATTTGCGTTGGGAGGATATCGTAAACTTATTGGGCGATAAGCAAAATTAAGGTGTACCGATTATTATGAATAGACGATGTTGGATACTTTATGAAATTCTATGTAAACTTTCTTTCACAATTCAGTAAATTAAATCACTGAAAGCGTTTCTTTAATTTGATTCGACGAAGAATTTTTCTTTTTCATCTTTTGGTAGAGTTTTTATGGACAAAATAGAAAAAGGTACCTACTAACTGAAGCTGGGGGATTTCAAAGTAATGCCGGCGAAACCGCCATCGGAAATGCCTGCTCCACAGTAGACTTGTCGGGCGAATGTTGGCAGAAAGTATCTTGGAAGTGAGTGAAGCGTTCGTTACTCAGAATTAAAAACTCTTTCTCTCCAAAGCTGTTTAGTATGGATGGATAAAAGGAGGAGATACTAGAACTGCGGGATGGAGAAAACCCGCACGGTAGCTAACACGGTGGTGGACTGTGAATCCTAAGAACTCAAATTACCTTAAAAACCGTCTTAACTGATTTGGGTCCATACCTGATTCATAAAATATGTAGAAAAAGTTGGATCATAGGAACAAATACAAATATTCTGTCCCAAATAAACCAAGGGCCCAATGCATTACGTTTGTAAGTTACCCTAAAAAAATGGGCGAAATTTCTTTAATTTTCTTCTAGGTAACCATATTGGTTACAAAGAACCTCTTCCAAATTTGGTCACAAATATGAAATTAGTTTTTAAAATTTCTAACACAAATAAACGCCACTATAATTCTTGCCCGGTTAACGAATCTGGCAACAATTCCAGGAAAATGGATGGGTTTTTTAAAATCACGAAGTTTACAATGTGTTTCCTATGGCAGTAATTCCATTGGAATTATTGCCATAATTAAATTATGTTTTTGATATTTTTGAAAATGAATGAACGCCAGCGCATTTTCGAAAATTACATTTTTCAGTTTTTTGACCATAACTTCGTTATTTGTACCTACAGTTAGAAGAAACTGCAAGGGAAACCTAATCTACATAAAATGTTACAATTCTTTGCCCATTTAAGCGACTTTGTATCTCTAACGGTTTACGAGATTCCCATCCTAAACATCGGAAAAAACTCACCCTGTATACAGTAGCGGCCAAAAGTTTATTACAATTTGAGTTTTTCATTATAACACTAGCATTTATTACGGTTGGCAATAAAATATTAATATGGTATTTAGAGTGCTATGAAAAACAATTCGATTCAGTCAGTCACTAATGGCCGTTTGCACCAACAAATTTAATTAGAGCTTAGCTTAAGTGTACCTTAAAACCCATGGCAACGATTATTGAGACAATGGTTGCCATGGATCTCCGCTTAAATTTGTCGGTGCAAACGAGTATAAGTATTTGTTGTAGGGATGTTTAATTTTTTTAAAATTATTTATTAACATACAGTATAGTGCGATACACTTTTTACCGCTACTGTATATGTCACAAAAATACGCCAGTCATAAGTTGCGGTAATGATGGCCAAATCCCCCTTTGTCTGAAAACGGCGGAATCGTGGTGACCGTTGCTAACAAAAACCGAAACGAAATGTTAACGAAACGCACTCGTATCGTATCGACAAGAAATCTGTCGCCTGTCATCACTAACAAATAACAAGACAGAGAGTAAGGTTTCTTTGTATTCCGATTATAATTTGTTCACGTATAAACAATGCAATTTGGCATAAATAATGAGCATTGACTAAATAATAACTAACTAAAATCATTGAATTTTGAATAAATAATAATTATTTATTCAATGCTAAAATTAATGCTACTCGAACTAGATATGAAATAAATCTAGGGGATGTTATAAATAAATCAACAATAACAGATAATGTCACTTATAATAATACGAAAGAAATAAATGTGAAACGGAAGGGGCGTGACTATGACGTGATCGAACTGTTAGTGGCATAACGTTTGTATGTTGTATTGTGGAGGAACCGCGCTGAAGTATTGTGGTAGGTATATAGATAGCAATTTTCTATAAATTGTGCGCAATTCTTTTTTTTTCTAATTAAATTCATAACTAATTCGTCAGAAAAATTTTTACGTGCTTACACCAATTTGTACTCGTATGATTGTGTTCAATTCTATATAAGGTAATTTTGAAATGAAACTTACTTTACCATGAAAACTGAAGGAATAATGTCACTTGATTTTTTCTAAATTTCATTAACGCACCAGTAAGGCTAGTAACCCCGTGTGGTTAGGCACCCATCGGGCGCGTCTCCGGGTGGCGGATAGGGGAAAGCCCATATAGACACCTGAATGATCGTACGTGATTCGTGCTTCGGTGTGGGTAGTGACGATTATAAGTGGCTCGTCGGGGCTAAAACCCAGACTGGTAGCGACGAAGGTCGTCGCCGCGGACCAACCTCCCAAGTCAAGGTGATAGCGACCGTGCCGAGGACTGCGTGGCACTGGGGTGCAGTGTCGATAACGGTGCCCTTCGGATACCGGTGGCTTCCTTTGGGAAGGGGCTGGCAGCCAAGCCCTGGGCAAGCGGCTCTGCTCAGGTGAGACCGCATTTCCGCACTACTCGTGGGAATTGTATGAAATCTTCACACAAAACCTTTCTGGCCTCCTCGTCAGAGGGGACCAACAAGCCGGGCCCTCAAAAGGGGCTCGGTAACGGGGCAGGCTCCTTGAAAGAGGGGACGGCTCCAACGCAGAGCCTTACCCAAGGACCTGGTGGTGGGTCAGCTCCTATTCGCAAGAAGAATAGGACTGGCGCATAGAAGGCGATGGTCAGGAAGCGCCGGCTCGACGGTAAAACCTCGGGTCAAGCGGGCCGTGCGCCAAAGCCTAAGGCTGCGTCTGGGTCGTTGGCTCAGGGGGGCAACCCGACGTCAGGGACTAAGCGTCTCAGATCAGAGGGAAGCACTCCAGGGTCTGGCTCAAGGCAGCCTGAGAAGAAGCTTAGAGGTTCTGGTGCACAGAAGGGTGCACCACGAACTTATGGGCAAGTCGCCGCGGCAGGGCTCAAGGTGGCCGTCGTTCCGGTATCATACCCGGAGGTGGACATCTCTGAGGCTCAGTCGAGGTGCATTATGGCTGCATTGAATGCAGTTGTAGACCGGATGGAGAGGGGGGGCCTTTCCTCGGCTGGCAGGGTTCCGTTGAAATCCGCAGGATGCCATCGTGGCCGAATGTGAGGACCAGTGGACCTTGGACTGGTTGGAGAGGACCGTCCCTTTATCAGGCCCTGGGCTGGCGCGTCGTTTTAAGTTCAGCGGCACGTCCCGAGGGTATCCAAGGTGATGGCTGTGTTGCACGGGCTCCCGGATGACACGGACACCACTTTGAAGCGCCTCCAGAGGCAAAATCCTGGTTTCAAGACGAGTCTATGGAGAACGTTCTTTCGCAGAGAGGAGCCTGGTGGGATTCTCCTCGCATTTGGTGTCGATGAGACGTCCTATCAGGCACTCCAGCGACAGAACTTTCAGGCGCACACGGGGGTCCCGCGCGTCACTTTTGTGACGAAAGCGGGTGCTCCGGCTGCGCAAGGTAAGGGAGAAAGTTCCACCGAAGCAGCGGGACCTAGTTCCGTTGCGACAGAGGGGGCTCAACTTCGCAGAGTTGATCTCGAAGGGACGGCGGGATTGCTCCCGGCGCCCGAAAAGATCGAGAAAGATGTCAGCGAGCTTTTGGCTCGTGTGGCGGTTTTTGGCTCCGACCAGGGGTCGGAACCGTCGGCATCGCTAACGGAGGAGGGAACCTGCTACATCAGTGATGGACAAAGTAACCTTCTTAGTGTTCTTACAGAGCAATTTTCAGTACAGTAAGGGGCGCGACCTGTCTAATAGGTCGTCAACTTGCTGTAAAGCAGACAGGCGTATGCCTCATACAAGAACCTTGGGTTTACAAGGGACGAGTAAGAGGTCTGGGCCAGGTGGGGAACTATCTTTATTATAAGAGGGACAGCCAACTGAACCCGAGGACTTACATTTATGTCGATCGGATCTCGTAGCTCTACGACTTCTGCTGAAAGATGATAGAGGACGGGGTAGGCACTTGGTGGTCTGCTCCGCCTATCTCCCGTACGACTCAGAAGGGGCTCCACCAACCAAGGAGCTGGCTGAGTTGATAGAGTACTGTCGAAGTAGTGGGCTCCCTCTTGTGGTTGGCTGTGACGCAAACTCACACCATGTTGTGTGGGGCAGCACGGACACGAACTCTGGAGTACTGGCAAACAACTGATTTGAATGTATTAAATCAGGGAGCAGTCCCTACCTTCGTCACAGCGCGGAGGCAGGAGGTCATTGATCTGACGCTGGGCTCCTTTTCAATAGCTCACATGATCACGAATTGGAGAGTGTCTGATGAACCGTCGCTTTCGGACCACAGGCACATTCTTTTCCAACTGAACCTGGCATTTCACTGCGGGCCCTGTAGGTTTCGGAATCCCCGATCCACTGACTGGGACTGCTATGTGGCAAAACTGTCGGACCGGTTGGATAGACCACCTTTGCTCTGTCGGAAAGCAGGGCAGGTGGAAGAGGCGGCCGCATTAGTAAGCGACGCCATAACAGCGTCCTATGAGGACAGCTGTAAACTGCGTACCTTTCGAGGAAAGAAGAGAACACCTTGGTGGAACTCAGACCTTGAAAAGGCTCGTAAGGAGGTTCGCAGGCTCTTTAATAGGGCCATGCGAACTAAGTTACCTGCGGACTGGGAAGATCTTAAGATCTCCCGGCGCAGGTATAAGGACCATATTCGGAGGTCGAAACGAGGATCTTGGAGGACTTTCTGTGGTAACATGGAAGGTCTTCCTGAAGTTCAAAAACTTCGTAAGATCCTTTTGAAGGACCCGGGGCAAAAAGTGGGGACACTGAGGCTTCCATGCGGCAGATATACGTCTACCGCGGGTGAGGCTCTCACATGTCTCCTGGAAACACACTTTCCAGGCTCTGGGGACTACTTAACTTCGGACCCACCAAAAGGAGCTACTCGGGTCGGTGTAAGGCCGATCAACTGGAAGGTAGCTTCCCGGGTGGTTACCGAGGGATCTCTGAGATGGGCGATCAACACGTTCAGCCCATTTAAGAGTGCAGGACCGGATGGGATATTCCCGGCTCTTCTACAGAAGGGCCTGGAGCCGCTGCTCTTACACTTGTTGCATCT